CTGGTTAGGCTAGGACCAGATGGCATAAGGGTTACATCGCTGGACTCCCACATAGTCAACTATAGTTGAGTCCCAACTTGGTGGCTTAAAAACTCATGCTGGGTGCCTGTGTGTGCATGTGTGACTAAAATTCCAAGAGAAGAATGGATTGTGGAGTGGCCATACCCCCTGGGGGGCTGATTTCTCACTTTCTGTTTTTTTTTGTCTCTCTAGCAAGCACATGTGCCTTATAGCAAAAATCTCTAAAAGAAAAAAGAAAAAAAAAAAAAAAAAAAAAAAAAAACTGGTTCAGCATCTTCCCTAGAAACTTGTTAATTTCAGAGAATTATCAGAGGGTCATTTTATAAGGCTGTCTCAAAACTCAACCTTAACAGGGACCACCAGTTAGCGTAATGGCTACGTCGCTGAACTCCCACATAGTCAACCGTGGTTTGAGTCCTGGACCCGGTGGCTTAAACTCATGCCGGGCACGTGTGCGTGCGTGCCCAAGATCCCGAGAGAATAATGGAGGAGAAGGGATAGCGGGGTGGCCATCCCCCCTGGGGGGTAATTTCTTGCTTTCTGTCTCTGTATGTCTGGCGAGCGCATGCGCCCTATAGTAAAAACCTCTCCAAAAAAAGAAGAAGAAGAAAAAAAAAAAAAACCTCAACCGAAACAGAGAACTAGAATACTAAGACCAGCAGTTGGCGTAATGGCTATGTCACTGGACTCTCATGTAGTCAACCCTGATTTGAGTCCTGGACTTGGCTTAAACTCACGCCAGGTGCGTGCATGTGCGTGCCCAAGATCCTGAGAGGAGAATAAAGGAGAAGGGATTTCAGCATGGCCATCCCCCCAGGGGGTGATTTCTCGCTTTCTGTCTCTCTCTCACACGTGCGCACATGGCTTATAGCAAAAACCTCTCCAAAAAAATAGAAAACAAAAACAACTAGAATACTTATGTATTACAAATACTTAATGCTAAAGTAGATTAACATCTCAAATGAGAACCAATTTCGTATTTCATCTTAAGACTTTTCTTTCTGCCTTATAACTTTGTTTATAAAATTATACATGAAACTGGGGACTAGCAGGTGGTGTGGTAGCTAAGGGGCTGGACACTCCCACACAGGCAACCATGGTTCAAGTCCCAGATCTGGTGGCTTGCTGTCTCACTTCCCATCTCTCTCTCTCTCTCTCTCTCTCTCTCTCTGGTCAAATCAAAACGAAAGAAAGAAAAAAGGAAGGAGAGAGAGAGAAAGAAAGAGAGAGAGAGAGAGAAAGAAGGTATACATAAAATTATTTATTATAAGCTAGGCTAATACATATTTAAGAATATAAAAAGGAGGCCCAGCCAGGTCATAGGGGTTAAGGAGGCTGCATCCCACATGACCAAATATGTGGGTTGAGTCCTAAGCCTGGCAGATTGGAAAAACACAACAGGGACACGTCCATGTGTGTCCCAAATCAACAGGTTGGAAAAATGGAAAGCGATGGTGTGGTCATGCCTCATAGAGGGTGCTTTCTCACTCCCTGCTGCTGCCCTCCCCCCACCCCAGGGCATGTGCCCTCCAGCAAATTTTAAAACAAAAATTTTAAAAAGAATACAAAAGAAATACTGAACAGAACAGCTACAATAAATCTAAGTTACCTATAATAACCCCCACAAAAAGCAGAATCTGACTACAGTGCCACTCACTGTGGCTGTTTTAATTAACAGGCAGATCTATTGACTCATTCCCAATCTTTATTTAAAGGGAAAAAAATAAGGTCACTGTTTCCCTAGAGGGCTAACAACAACAACAAAAAGATATGTTTTTGTTTTAGAAAAACTAGGATATGTGATGTCAGCAAATATTGCAATGATTACGTCACTGGTTTCCCACAAGGCCAACAGCAGTTCGAGTCCCTGACCCAGTGGCTTGAAACTCATGCTGGGCGCATGTGCATGCATGCCCAAAATCCCAGGGAGAAGAGATTGCTGCAAGGTCATCCCCTGAGGAGTGATTTCTCACTTTTGCTCTCACTGTTGGTGTCTCACTCTCCAGTGAGTGCATCTGCCTTAAAAGCCATAAACCTCTATTAAAAAAAGAGAGAGAAAGAAAATGAAAAGAAAAACTAGTGTGTGGACTTTAGTCAGTGACTGTTAGTTTATGACTGAACACAATTTCTGTGGGATCTCTGATTGCTCACTAATTTTAAATAATCCCTATTTTGATTTAACTGAAAAAGAAAACATTCTCCCAAATTAAAGTCAAATTTCAGCTTTTAAGTTTTAAAGATATCTGAGAGCAAATGCCGCAGCAGCCCTCTGTAAAGAGACACAAGGCAAATTCCTGACTTTAAATACTTGAAATTAATGTGGTCAGTAAGAGTTTTCTAAGCCACCTTTAAAATAAATTTTTTAAATTATTTATTTCATTTGTTATTGTTATTTTTAATTTGCTATAGGGCTCATGAGAGATGAGAGAGAGAGACAGAGATAGTGAGAAGGCAAGCTGCCAGGTCCAGGACTTGAACCTGTGATCAGCCATGTGGGAGTCCAGCACCTTAACTACCGTGCCACCCGCTGGCCCCTAAAATCAACCTTCAGATATAAGCTTGTATGGGCCAGGTGATGGTGCAGCTGTAGTACAACTAACTGACATAGGAAGGTTCTAGGCTCATATTCTAAGGCCTTGCTCTACACCAGGCACAGGTGTATATACCTATGATCTGGGCTTGTAAAGGCTGGGAATAAGATCACTGTGTGATGACCCCACTAAGGATCTGTGTGTACTTCCTTTGTTTCTCCCTCTTTTTCTCTCATGGAAAAAAAATAAATACATGTTTAAAAAAAAAAATGCCACTAGAGCCGGCAGATGGTATGGTGGCTCGGGCCCTAGATTCCCACATGGCCGACTATGGTTCAAGTCCCAAGCGTGGTGGCTTGCTTTCTCACTTTCCCTCTCTCTCTGTCCCTAGTGAGTGCATGTCCTATAGCAAATTAAAATAATAATAATAAGAAGATAAAAATAAATAATTATTTTTTTAAAAAACTACTTCATTAAACTGGCAATGTGGCCTCAGAAAACTCCACAAATTATTTGAAATTTGGTTTTATCACCTCTCAAGCAAGAACACTAGAAGGTGCCAAGTCTGGGCAGTCTCCATGCTCTGGTGGGGAAAGTGGCTGGATCCCACATGGCTACATGGCTGGAATCATAGCCCCAGAGGCCTGAAAAACACATTTGGCATGCATGTATATTTGTTCAAAATCCCAGCTGTGTGATGTGACCACACTCATTTCAATAAAGCCAAGGCCTCCCCCCAGCACACACACCACCTGGCAAAAAAAAAAATTTTTTTTTAGGAGAGATTTTTTTGCTATAGGGCATGTGTGCCAGACAAAGAGAGATAGAAAGCAAGAAATCATTCTCCAAGGGGACACACCACAATCCCTTCTCCTCTTGGGATTTCAGACACACACAGACACACACACGGCCAGCCTGAGATTTAAGCTACCAAGTCTGGGACTTGAACTGTGGTTGACTATGTAGGACTCCAGCAAACCATTACACCATCTGCTGGTCCTGCACCTGGCAAATTTAAAAAAATAAATAAAAGGTAGGGGGCAAGGTTTTTAAATTGCCATTCTAAATCCTCAACAAAGTCAATTAAGTTAGTAAACGTAAAAAAATAAATAAATAAAGAGGAGGGGCAGGCACAAGGTCTCCTGCCAAAGGCTAAGAATTCCATGAAAGCAGTTCTTCAATGTCAAGTATACAAATACTAATCTAATACAACATCTATAATTATAACTTAATTATTATGATTGATGTTCACAAAAGAGAAATATACTGTTTGGCATTAATGGTTTTCTTACACATTCACACACAAAAATAAAAGCCACCTTCAAACTTAATCCAGAAAGATGGACTGGCAAACAGAAAATACTCTTTGTGAGGTCATCACATAACACTAGAAATTTCAGGAATGCAGGGAGCTTTTCATCTACAGACTGTAAGAGTCAATAAAAAAAATTAACACTTAAAAAAAAAACCACACACACAACAGACTCTCCTTATTTACTATTCAGCAGCCTATAAGGAAGTTCATAAAGAAGTTTCCAAGTCATTAATTCAAATTTGCATTCCTTACTCAATCTATATGCCTTACTCTTGTTATATGCAAAATGAAGGTGTTCCTGGTTAACCTTAAAAAAATTTTTAATCATTTTATATGGGATAATAAACATTATGGGAATCCAGATACCTAAAATAACTTAAGATAATTCAGTTTGTATTGGGACAATAAATGGTAGTTTAGTATGGTCCAAAGAACACAAAAATTAAGCATGGAGCTACAGTGACATACAAAATAAGTCTTTAAACTATTTTCTGCTGAGATAGGATTTAGTATATGTGTATAAAAGGTACATATGAAAACAAGATATTGAAAATCTGCCTCAGAGTATCATCTAGGAAAGAGTTGAGGATTAAACCAAACTGGAGCACAAGACTTATTCATAAAGACACTTGAGAAGAAAAGTTTTTAGGTTTGAAAAATATAAAATAATATCTGCTATTCTACTAATTACCTGTTTGATAGCTAAGTCATTTCAACCTATCCCGAACCTAGTTTACTTACACAAGAGTGTTACATTCCAATGGCTAAGATTCCATCTAAAGTCTAAAATTTATACTCTAAAACAACTGACCCAGTATCTATACTTCTACCTCTAGGAAATATAAAGAACCATATCAATAACAAGCACCTGAATTTGAATGCTGAGGGAAAAAACAGCTACTAACTGCCTAACAATCAAGGATACAGCAAGAGATATGCATACATATAAAACTGACCCCCCCACAAAGGAAGCAACAACTGTTCAAGGTACCCACCCCACCCCCAACCCTAAGATAAACTTAGTACACACACACACACACACAATTTAGTTACTACACATATTTTCAGTTTCTTAATAAGCTATCTCATTGTATTTTGAATAAAAACAAACCTTCTATTCAAAAATCTCTTACCTGATAAAACAAGAGATGTATTTTCTTAACAAGAAGTAGAGGCCAAGTCAATCCTGTGGGCAACCAATTAAAACCAACTTTTAGACTGCAATAGAGAATAAACGAAGGCAAAAATCAATGCAGGAAACACAAAACAACACGCACAGGCCACACTGAACTGTACATTATGAAGGCGAGTCTGAAGCCACCAAAGTTCCTCATCAGAATGCTTATCCAAAAAAAAAAAAAAAGAAAAGAAAGACATATACCAAAATCCCATATATTTTTAAAACTTGGTATTGCTTTCAAATGAATCTCTCTCAAAGGATTTACACACACACACACACACACACACACACACCCATATACATACAAACATGAAGAATATGTCATAAATTAGCCAAAAATAACATCAATTGGAAAAAGGTACAAAATTCAACTTCCCAGCTGGTAATTGCTTTCATTTCCTGATGATTAAACCAGTCCAGAAAATTCCATCTAACACAAGTCCATCTCCTACCTCTTTCCCTAGGTCCCCAACAAATTTTTAATGAAAAAGTACAAGTCCACACAGCAGCAATTTCTAGACAAATCATCAATTCGCGGACATTCACAGAAATTATTGCAATTACTCTTCCAATATATTTTCTCTTGCATCAAACACCACAAAAGATAAATGAGATCAAAGTTCTGGCTATAAGGACTAATTACATTAGGGTTTGAGATATTAAGGAAAAGTGCTTACTCTTCTACCACCACAACCATTTAAAAAACATGCAAAAAAAAAAATCTCTAAAAATGTCTGGCATAACGAAGGTATTTCCCAAATTAAAAATGGGTCATCTTTCCTGGATTTTTTCCAAAGTGGTAGTTATAAACAACTCACAAGCAATAAATAAAGGCCCAAATGATTAGACATCTATAGTCAAACTATCAATATATATCTTTTGGCTATATGGTTCAGGTGCTTGCCAGGGAAAGTGAAAACGCACGGGGGGCTGAGGGGGGGGTGTCTTCTCTATTCTCCTCAGAACTCTCAGTAAGCACACACAAGTGACTGGCATGTTTCTCAAGCTGCCAAACTGGGATTGGAACCATGCAGTCAGCCATGTGGGATCCAGCTACCTTAACCACGATGCCACCAAAAAGAGTTGCTTTTAATTCAGGAAAAAAAGTTAAAAAAAAAAAATTACCATTTTTCCATATTAAAATTACCAACAGAAGGCTGCTTATCCAAAAGATGTTCATTTTAAAGTAGTATCTTTCAAGATCAAGATACCACCTGTAAGCTTAATAGTCACCAATAAAAAGACATATTCCAAAAATTAAAAGCATGAGTCCAAACTTTTTAATGGACAAGCTAAACATCATCTATTTAACTACTCATATTACTCAAGAGCAATGAGACTGATTTGCCAGGAAAAGCTATGCAAATTATGTCATAGCATGTCTTCAAAAGCTCAAAGCATTGTATTAATCTTTTATGTGTTATACAAATCTCCTCTAATTAAGTCTAAAGAGTTTAAAAACTCTTCACTTAAAGTCACATATAGTATTTTATCTGATCACAAAGGGAAATTTGAAACAGAAAAAGTTCATGTCACATAAACAGTGAAGTACTATTGTAATATTTATTTCTATATGTACAGGTTTAACTCTCTGAGCCACAGAACTACAGTAATTTTCTAGTTGAGCACTTATGACAAACTATTCCCGAGACTCCAATCTAAAAGATCTGTTATGGAGCCACAGTATACACCCTAATATAAGGAAAAACAGATTCCTCAGCCTGTTCCATCCCAGAGACACCAAATATCCACATGGATAAGGACAAATTCAGGGTCAGTTAAGCCCAAAGGGAACTAACTCCCTAGGTCTATTATCAAAAAATTCTACAAGGTTGCCAGAAATTAATGTAAGGAGGCAAGTTCTCATTTTACAGAGAAGAGCTGCAAGGTCCAGTAGAATATGGCAAATGCCTAGTTCAAGTTTAGTTGTTCAACACAAAGCACAAAATCAATCCAGACATAAATGTGAGATTCTATTTCAGCAAAGGGGAAATTACATCCCATCCCACACCAAGAAAAAAGAAAGTCAAGACTAGAAGTCAGACCTTTATAACCCTTGGTATTACCCTCTTCCTTCAACAAAGAAATGTAAATAGAAACTGTAAACCAAAGCGCTTTTAACACCTAACTCTTAAAAACCACAATAATTTAAGAAGTATTACTGTTTTCCAGGAACCAATTCATTCCTGTGTTCTAAATGTCAACTAGCAACTGTATGAAGAATCACAAAATGAATAAACCCTATTCACCTTAAGCTTTCGTGAGCTCTAAAGGGATAAGACTGAAATAATTCTACAGCAAAACATCCAAAATCTGTATTTTACCTATACAGAGATCAGAGTAGGGAAGAAGAAAATGGTTCTGATTTGCAGTTAAATCCACTGATAACATTTCAGATCTCAATCAAAATGACTGCTTTAGTTTGTCTTCCATTTCATGTTAAGAATCAGTCCTCACAAAAGCTTTGCTTCAGCTTAACAAATATCAGATACATGCACAAATTTAAATATCTGCTAAAAAAAACTTAGTATTTATGACAAGACAGACTTTTACTAACCATTCCAATCCTTTGTAATTTCAGAATAAGATGTCTGACAACAAACCTCTTCATCAAGAAGTCAAGGCACAAACCAGAATGCGACCACTTTCACTCTTCATCTGGTAATACAAAAGTGAATTTTAACTTTGTTCAGTCACCAGTCTTCAATTGACAAAATCACGGTACAGCAGAACTAGATTCTTCAGATCCAAAAGACACCAAAAAAAAAAAAAAAAGAAAAACAAAAACAAACAAACAAACAAAAAACTCTCAAATAATTCACCTCAGAGATGAACAACAAACAGATAATCACAATGGGCACAATGCTACAAGCAGTATAATCATATTATGGTAAGTATTATGAAACAATAGCTTCAATCAATCATCCACTTGATTTTGCCACCCATACTCAAATGGAACACTTTTGAGAATCTGGGATCAATTATAAAAAATTCTTCACACTGAAGGAGATGTATCTCGTTTATAATGCATTACTCAATTTTCTCATTAGCCTCCATTCAGTACTCAAAGATAACAATCAAAAGACATTTCTAAATAAGATAGTCCTCCTACCAAGAACAGGTTTTTCAATCTCCCCCAAATGCCAAAAAAAATCACTTCATGTAAACTTCAAAGCAAAAATATTACTCCTAACCTAAACAACCACATTTGTCCTTGCTACGGTTATAGATTAAAAAAATCTGGCTTTAACTAAACGGTGTAAAAGGTATATATAATCTGATCAAACTGTAATTTAGGCGATTTTTTTGTTTATTTAGTAGACCTAAAACATTTAACAATGTTAATTTACTCCACGAGGCTCATAAAAAACTAGGAAACAGTATATTTTAGGGTGAAATACCTAAAAGCATCTTTTGTGCAACCCATTACTAACAGTTCTTCCTACAACACCTATAAAAGAAAGTATTTACCCACATTAATCAAGGGAGTAGCTCTCTACAAAATGGAATAAAAACTGTCAATATTATCACTGAATTCAAATATCTGCAACACTCTGACCCAAAATACCAAGTTTCAGGTCTAAAAATTGTATACACAAGTACCAAACTCAATATGCAGTGATCAAAACTTTTGATGTGTCGAAGAACATGAAAGAAGCCTAAAGTGTACTGGTATTCACACATAACAATACATTCCAAGTAACTACAATGATGATTTCTAAAGCTTCGCATTTTTCACCTAACAGATTTGACTATAAGAAAAACTGGTATTACGCATTAAAACTCACATATCAACATTTAATCGAGCATAGAAAAGTGATATAAAAATGCAATGCCCTATTTCATTTAAAAAAACTACCTACTACATACTAAGCACATTTTCATTGAACTCTTCATAAAACGTATTAAACATTTCATTTTTCTTCAAAACACCATAAAGTTTTATGAACCACCCGTAACGGCTCTTCCCTTTTTAACAGTCTTGGAAATCGCCTGAACACAATTACTTTCCACTAATTCTAGAAATACTTGTATCAAAACATAATTACTTTCTACCAAATTTCAAAAAACAAATATGATCAGCCTTGAATTATATTTCCATAAATTTTTTAAAAAGGCAAGATT